TATCGTTGGCACTCTCTTGTCACACAAGACTCCAGATGCTAACCTCCACTTCATCCATCCTACTCCAACACGGTATGTGGCATCCTCGTCGATGTCCCCTCCCCCGTGGATAACCGAACCAAGGTACTTGAAGCTGCCTCTACTTGAGAGAACCTGTGACTCAAGCCTAACATCCACGTCCACTTCCCCCGGCCCAGCGCTGAACTTACACTCAAGTTATTCCGTCTTCGTTCTGCTTAGCTTGAAACCCTTAGACTCAAGAGTCTGTCTCCAAACTTCCAATCTCTCGTTAACACCGGCTCGTGACTCATCAATCAGAACTATGTCATCGGNAAACCCTTAGACTCAAGAGTCTGTCTCCAAACTTCCAATCTCTCGTTAACACCGGCTCGTGACTCATCAATCAGAACTAAATCAGAACTATCTTTTCTAATTTATATAATACAAATAAATAGGAGCTATCAGATTTTACTTAGATGATGTGGTGCGATCTTAGGTAGCCATTGAACAATACTTGACCAAATTGTACTGGACTGGATCTCAACCCCAAAGATACGTGAAAGTCACTCACATAAAAAAAAAATTCAATTGGTGTATATAAACCATATAATTGTAAGTCTTAGATATCCTTTGTTTGATTCAACCTTCAAAAATTTGAATATTTACAGGTGCAACTAAAATTTATCACTGTTTCTATGAATATAACTTTTAACCACAAAAATGCAAACCAGTTCCTTGAAACAGTTCGTAGAAGGAAAACACAAACACATTTTCAATTAACACGCAAGTACTAAACAAGATTAATAACTGTTGAAGCGTTGCTTCATAAAATTTGCATAAACAAGATTATACAGTTTCATGAATACTTTTAGGAGGCAACAAAAGAAAATAAACTTACCTGGTAAATCTGCAGCTTTCCTCAGTCGTTTCTTCTAATGGTGATGGTTAATTATGATATTACTAATTTATAAATCCATTTATATAAGCTCATCGGTTATCAGAACTTATCTAGCAAACTGATAATATTCTTCAGCAGAGTTAAGATAATTACTTAGCACATTAATTTGGTAACAGATGAATCATTGGTGCAGATGAATAAAGTTTGACTGCAAAGAAGACGAAAAGTTTAATGAACACCACTATACTGCTTAGCTTAATGGTAGGAGATGAAAACACTCAGGTGATGATTAAAATTCCTTTCTAATTGATACGTTAGCCATAATTTACCATTTAATAGGATCCCAATTAATAAGCTAATTAACAATTTAATGGAAGGTAATTAACTTTTAGATAGAGGATAAATTGATCGTTTAACTTCTAAAGGATATTTTAGTAAATAAATCTCACACTAATGAGCTTCACGCTTATAATATAAAAACTTATAATTCCTCGACAAGTGCGTTGCATGTGTATGCCAAGTTATATAGTACATAATTTTTGTAAAATAATAGTAATATTATTAAAATAATTATCTAAATATTTTTAACCGTTATAGTAAAGTGCTGTTATAAAAATATATGTTAGAGCATATAACATGAAAATTTAGTTCCAAATGAACCTTTATAAGGAAGTCTTGTTATCGAGTATGGTTGTTATAGAGAAATTTGATTGTACATGAGAGAATAAAATATGAATTTTTTGGATGAACAATGTAGATCATCGTATACTGACTTATTTATCAAGGTCAAGATGATTAGATATTTGAGCCTACAAAGATGAATAATCAAGATTTAATTAGATACAAGTGATTTTCTTTTCTTACTTGTTTTAATTTATTAGGTACAAATCATATTGTACCTAATTATATATTCGTATATAAAAATCTACTTAATATGCATAAATAATTTAGTCAAAATCCAGTAAGTTCCCTTTTTTTGAATTCAGAACTTATAAACTCAAAATATAAAATTAATTTCTTCCTATTTGTCAAGTTAACCATTTAATTCGCCACCAGACGGCGAAATTATTTAAAAAGAAAAGTTAAAACATTTAATCTTTTACCTCTTTGGATGTCAAAGAAACACTTTACATTTTGTGCTAAAACACATCAATACAGGAGAAATACTTTGATTTTCTTCCTAATTCGTCCCAAAAACATAGTTCATTTTTTAGCCTTTTGGTATCATAAAACATTGTTTAGATTTGACAGTTATATTAAAATTTAAAAACATAATCCAACCACTCTATATAAAGAAATAGTTGGAAGGAACGAATAAAAAAAAGGTATGGCATAAACAAAACCCTTGTAAAAAGTAACATGAAAGAAAATGATGCACCTTATTTGGCATTTGTAGATGAGTTCTGTATGTAGGGGAAGAGATGATGACAAGTGAAAAAATAAGATGAAGTAATTCTAATCACGAAATAAAAGGTTGTCCAGTAATACAATTTTATTTAGGAGTTAAAAGGATGCAACGTACACATTTATCATTTGTTGTAGCTATCTTTCATGCTATCTTCTCAATCGTCTGATTCAATGTAGATTATAGTATACATTGTTATTTATTGGAAGATAAATTTACTTTTTGATACAAAAGTAATATATAAAAGTAGCATTCAAAGAAAGGATAAAATGGTCTTTCATCTATTGTAGATATTTTAGTAATTCACTTTTCATTTTGGGGCTTCATACTTATAATATAATATTCTTTTCGTTCTAATTTATGTGAACCTGTTTGACTGGACACAAAGTCTAACAAATAATGAAGACTTTTAGAATTTGTGATCCTAAATTTATCAGAAAGGGGTCCAGAGTATTTGTGTGGTTATAAAAGCTTCTCATTAAGGGTACAATTGAAAGTTTAAGCTAAATTGTTTTCAAATTTAAAAAGAGGTTATTCTTTTTAGAACGGACTAAAAAGGAAATAGGTCTACATAAATTGAAACGGAGAGGGTATGATATATGAACTGTCCTTTAAAGTTTTGACACACTGATTTAGTAGATCATTTAACGGCGGTAGTATTATTTGACTATTATGCTATTATTGGAACAGAATAGCTACCAGGAATATACGAAGCTGAAAGCAAGAGTGGAAGTGCTACAACAGTCTCAAAGGTGATCACATATATACTTGAGAGAAAAATTTATAATTGAAATTAAAGAGTGCTTCAATATTTTTCACTTTGACTTTTCATTTACAATCATATATATGATCTTTTGATCTTCTTTCTTCTATTCTTCGTCCTTAGTTCTAAATAAGATGGAATTTAATTATTCATAATCTTTAGGCATATCCTTGGAGAAGACTTAGGACAATTAAACATAAAAGAACTGGAACAGCTTGAGCGCCAACTGGATTCATCTTTGAGGCAAATAAGGTCAAGAAGGGTATGTTTTATGCACCTTTACCGGTTATTTAATTTGTCAGTTTCTGTACAAGCTAAATTTGCAGCTCTCAGTAGCATAGCTACTTTAGATGACCATGTGAATATTTTAGAAGCTTCAGACAGTAGTGGAGATAGGATTTTCGCTAGGGGTTCAAAAAGATTTTTTAAAAAGATTATAACTAGTGAGGATTGAACCAATAACCTTACAAAGGTTTTGAACCCCCTTGGACACTTAGCTACGTTTTTGGACTATGTCAAGGGGATTCAAAACATAACATATAGAGATAAAAAAATAGATTGATTTTGCCTTATACATACAGTATAATTTTTCGACGAAGGGGGTACGGGTGAACCCCTTCCGCCCCCTAAATCCGCCCATGGCTTCAGATCATATGCCTTCTTCCTAAATATGAATTCCTTCTTTACACTTTTCTTTTGGTGGGGTGCGACGTGCATTAATAGTGCAACACTCAAGAAACCCGATAGCAAGCTAATGCTGCCACGATCTAAAATTCAACCAGTCGTGATGACACCTAACTCAACATGCTAGGTAAGCAAATTAACAACTAACCAGTTCCAATAACAATTTAATAAAGCAATTAAGTAAAGAGATATCTAAATCCGATACATTTCCCAAGGACTGGTAGTACAAATCATGAGCTTCTAAGATTAGAATTTACAAAGCTGGTATGAAATAAATACATCATTTGTTCGAAAAGTACATAAACAAAATTTTATATTCTAAGGCTACCATGAGCAAGAGGCAACTACGACCGGAACGTAGGTACATCTTCAAATCCAGCTCCCATCGATCGCAGCATGTCAGCAACCAACATCTGCACACAAGGTACAAAAGTGTAGTATGAGTACAACAGACCACATGTGCTCAATAAGTAACAAACTTAACCTTAGGTTGAAAGTAGTCACGAGCTAGAACCAAGGTCGGGTCCGACACCAATAGCCAACAACAATTCATAACAACGTAAAACAAGTAATTAAAGAAGTAATTTAGAGATGAAATGCTCAACTTATTCATAGTTTCCGCAAAAATAGTTCTGCTTTTCAAGTATATCAGTGAAAACCCAAATCCATTACCGAAATCGTTGAAAATATGAGTGAGTTTGAAAACAGTAAATTTTTCCAAAAATCCTTTCAACAATCAATAAGATGTTCCATTTTTCTTTCCAGATAGCCAGTGTAACATATATCATTATGCTCATACATCAATATGCCTGAGAAGTCATGAATGACGTGATACCGTACAACATGAGGAATAAATGCATCTCTATGCATGTATGTCATATGTGCATGTCAATGCCATGTACCTCAGAGATGAACTCATGTACTCACACTCACAAAGTACTCAATCTCATTGTCTCACACTTTCTACTCATCATGCTCGACCAGTATTATATATGGCCAATCCGGCGATCCATCCCGAAATATATACATCAACTGATCATTAGTCTCTCAGTACTGAGTATGACCAAATCCAGCCCGTTGGGAAGATCATCCCCAGTAATATAAATGCTTCAGACAAGATTCATGTCCAAGGAAGATCCATCCTTCAATATAATCAACCGTGCTTACTAGGGATGTGTGCGGACTCCAGAGGAGCTCCTTCAGCCTGAACGCTATGTCAAGCTAATCATGGCACAAATCAATATAACCTGTTGCGGCGTGCGGCCTGATCCCATAATATAATCAATATAAAATGTTGTGGCATGCAGCCCGATCCCATAATATAATCAATATACATGTTGCGGTGTGCAGCCCGATCCCATAATATCACTCACACGCAGTCCCTCGGTCTCACTCAGTCATCAATCTATCAAGTGTCTCGAGCTCACAATGCCATAAAACTAGCCTAAAAGGATGATATGATGCATCAATAAATAGCAACAGAGACTGAGATATGATATGCATATGAATGTGTATGACTGAGTATGCAATGAAAGCAGATAACTCAACAGCAGAAATGACCTTAGTGGGTCCCAACAGGATAAACATGTAGCCTAGACATGGTTTCTAACATGGATCAAAGCTCAATAGTTCAAGTATGTAGAAATTTCATGGTTATAGGTAAGATCAGGTAACTACACAATACCACAGAACTAATAGAGTCACAATTCACACGGTGCATGCCCGCATGCCCGTCACCTAGCATGTGCGTCACCTCAACACCAATCACATAGCAGGTAATTCGGGGTTTCATACCCTCAGCACCAAGTTTAGAAGTGTTACTTACCTCGAACAAGCCAATTTCAATACCGAGCAAGCCAAATGATGCTCCAAAAATGCCATCTCGCGCGTACCGACCTCCGAACGGCTCAAAACTAGCCAAAAGCAACTCAGATATATCAAATAATGCCAAAAAAAATAAATCCATTGATAAATGTTGAATCTTTAATCAAAAGCCTAAAAATCATTCAAAAAGTCCAGCTGGGGTCCGTGCCTCGGAACCCGAAAAAACTCACAAAATCCGACAACCCATTCAATTATGAGTCTAACTATGCTAGTTTCACTAAAATTCGACTCTGAATCGATGTTCAGAACTAAAAAATTTTTTTTTATGAAACTTTAGGCTAGAACCCCCAATTTTCTTTTTAAAATTCACAATCCACTTACCAAAAACGAAGATAGATTCACGAAATATAACCAAAACCGAGTAGAGAACACTTACTCCAGTTCATATGGTGAAAATTCCTCCAAGAACTGCCTCAATCCGAGCTCCATAGCTCCAAAAATGTAAAAATGACCGAAACCCTCGAAATAGAGTACTTTATACTGCCCAGGCATCCTCTTACACGAACGCGGAAAATCCATCGCGTTCGCGATGAACAAAATCACACAGCATAAAAAGACTCTACGCATTTGCGGCATAGTCCTCGCGAGCGCGATGTAAAACATGACCAACCCTTCGCGAATGCGGCTGCTACTTCGCGAACGCCTACATTTCCTCTAGCTCCTAAACTTCAGTTCTATGCGAATACGACACCCCATCGCGAAGCAGAACCCGATGAGCTTACCTTTTGCGAACACGTTCCTTGTATCGCGTCCACGAAGAACAAATTCGCAGCAGACCAAATTACACTTCGAGATCGCGGCCGGACATTCACGATCGCGAAGAACACCAGAAGCATCAGGTAACAGCAGAAACCAACAATAACAACATGGTCCAAAATAGTCCGAAACCCGTCTGAAACTCATCCGAGCCCCTTGAGACCCCATCCAAATATACCAACAAGTCCCATAACATAACACGGACCTACTTGAGGCCTCAAATTATGCATAACAACATCGTTACGATGAATCGCACCTCAAATCGAGCTTAATGAACTTTGAACTTTTCAACTTCCATAACTAGTGCCGAAACATAGCAAACCAACCTGGAATGAACCCAAATTTTGCATACAAGTCCCAAATAATATAACGAAGCTATTCTAATTCACGAACCATAATCTGAGTTCGATATCAAAAAGTCCACTCCTGGTCAAACTTCCAAAAATCCAACTTATCACTATTTCAAGCCAAATTCAACTACGATATTTCAAATCACAATCCGGACGCGCACCTATGTCCAAAATCGCCCAACGAAACTAACAGAACCATCGAAACTCCAATCCTAGGTCAAATACTAAAAAGTCAAACTTGGTTAACTCTTCTAGTTTAAAGATTCTTAGTTGAGAATCATTCTTCCAAATCAATTCTGAATAGCCTGAAAACCAAAACGACGATTCGTCATAATACATCATACGGAGCTACTCATGCTCTCAAACCACCGTGCAAAGTACAAGTGCTCAAAACGATCGGTCGGGTCATTACAAATGCGATGGCCTCCCCCTTAAAATTTGAGTATATATATCATCTCGACTGTGTAATAATCCCCGCATCACTGATGGTTCAAGTTGAAAGGCGGTTCTCCGTGAGACTTGCCCCACGTATATCTCACATCAGAATGGGTGGAGAAATTTATGGGCCATATAACGGCAAGTTTAGGATTCAACTGTTGAGACATCTATTGGATTACAACCCAAAGGGGCAAAATCACGAATCTCAAAAGCCTTGAAGACACTGAGTCCTTGGCCATATCAGGGCAAAGCAAACAATACTTTTGCAATTGATCCTGGACCCTAATAAGTGCGGTATCAGAGTAGATACCTTTAGTATGGTAAGACAAACCTTATCGAGGATACTGAGTCCTAGCCATATCAAACTCAAAATTCAACCGTTGACAAATTTTGGATTAAACCCCAACAGGGTAAAATCTTAGCCCAAAAGCTTTGAGGTGACTGGTCTGAGTCAAAGCGGATAAGCCCTTGTTGGTTAGGCCTGACCATGGGCCCGACCGTGACAAATTGCTGGCACTATGTATTTGATATTAAACTGATAAGAACAAATATCACTCTTAATTAATTTAAGCTCAAAAGATATGGCTTCCTTCTATACTAAAATGAGAATCTTACGGAAATGTTCCAAAAAAAAAAAATATATTTACCAACAACTAACCATTTTAGTTATGCTACCAAAAATAACAAAAAAAAATACCAATTATATACAAAATTTAAAAAATATAGGAAATAAAAAAAAAATCAATAGATATTATTGCGATTCATTAAATATACATAGATGAGTCAATATACAAAATTTGAGTAAGTTTGAAGGTGAATCAGATTAGTTTGGAGTCAAGATTCATTACTAATGATATACAAAATTAAAAAAAAAATGCAAAAAAGAATTTTTTTCAATGGGTATGGTTTGAATTCGTTGAAAACATGTAAATGAGGCAATATACAAATTTTGAGCAAGATTGGAGGTGATTTGAACTAGTTTGGCATCAAAATCCGTAGTTAAAATCAAGTTAATTTTTTTTTTTTTACGATACATGTATCAAACGTATAAATCTCACACATAAGTGTACATGAATATACATTTGATATATATGTGATACATAGTGTGGTACATATTATTTTTTTCGATTTTCATCTTCTATTTCGAATTTTCAATTCAAACCACCTCAAAACTCCATCAAATCATCCCAAAACTGAGATTCGAACTGTTTAAGATGTATCCAATCTATTCCAATAACAACCACTCAAAAGAAAGCAAAAAAATAATTTTTTTTGGCTACAAATAGATAATTGACTAATATTAGTAATATTTTATGAGTTGATTAATTTTTATACTAATTTGCTTATGGGTAATTGGTAATTTTCCTAAAATGAGCTTATACCCTAATAAAAGATGCTAAATAGTTTGCAAGATTTCAGAGTGTTTTGTTAACAAGTTCTTGAACATGTTTCAGACGCAAAACATCCTTGATCAACTTTCTGATCTTCAACAAAAGGTATGTATTTTATATTCCCCAAAGTAAGCAAGAGAACATTGCTCAACTTTTCATGTGACATTGTATGCCTTCTTCTGCTGTTTCAACAGGAACAATCTCTTCTTGAAATCAACAGATCCTTGAAGATAAAGGTACAACTCTCTTAAATAAGGTTTCAACTAGAAAAATATGGACAAATCCAGAAAAGCTACTAATAGTAAACCTTCATCTACGTAATTTCATGTGATCTATTGGGATAAAATGTCAGAATTATTACTTTTTCAAAGTAGTACTTTCATGTATTTTTTCCTCCTACAACTCATTTAATTTATGGGATAATGTTACATTTAATCCTTGTACTATTTTATCTGGCTCATTTGTTCTCGATTTCGTTTGAAATGAGTTGTTTAATCTTTCTAGCAATAATGCAGCTAATGAATACAAGTAAACCTATGTTGTTCGGATTCTCCAAAAGTGATGCCGCGCCCGTGTCGGATCCTCCAAATATACATTAAATTTGGAGGATCCGACACACAACCAACAACATTTTTGAAGAGTACTCCGAGCAACATAGAGTAAACCTACATATCTAAATGTAAAACACAGGACTAATACGAATTGAAAGTTGACTTACCAAAAGTACAATTACCCTCGATTTTACAAGAAAACTTCAGACCTAAAGTTTTCCTTCTTTTCTAAGAACTTTTTATTTGGGGCGTCGTGTAATAATGATGTATAGGGGAATTTGGTATTCTTTTCTCCAACCAGTTAACAGTTGTTTCTCTATGAAATGCTTCTGGCAGTTGGATGAAAACTATGTAGCCTACCAAACTCATTGGGATACTGGAGAACAAAATATACAATTTAGACATCGACCTGCTCAGCCTCAGGAGTTCTTTCAGCCTCTACAGTGCAATAGTACAATGCCAAACAGGTACGGTAATGTTGCCCTTGTTGCAATACCACACTTTTTTTGCAACATTTTAAGTTATAGCGCAATTCTAACGTAAGTGGAATCAAAATGTGTGTGATCGTATATATCTACATTCTGATTAATTTCGTTGTGTGTGTATCTATATATTTATTTATGAATTTATAAGTCGAGCTAAAAGTGACGGATTCAGGTACAATCAAGCGCCATGGGATAACATAGAATCATCAACACAAAATGCTACTGGAGTTTTACCTGGATGGATGCTTTGATGGTTGGGGCTAAAGGGGAATCAAATTCACTTACCCTACCTTTTACAAGCAATTAAGTTAATGCAGTTTGAGATTGGAAAAGAAAAATTAATAAATGTAACTTTTCCCATACACAATTGAAGTCTCAGTCTTTCAAAAGACTACTGCTGGTATGAATTGTAAACTAGTTAACGAGTACGCAAAGCATAACCATATATGTCATGGAATAAGTCAAATTACATCTTTTATTTTAATTTAGACTCGTTGTTCTTGTTTCAGTTAAGTTATTCTTGCCTTGCATGGAAATAATGCAAGTAGGCTTTACTAGGCCACGGCGGTTTGAGCCATCCCGTGGAAAGACATCTATTTTCTCGAACATGTCAATCATAAATATACATACGTGGGAAAATGCCTTTTTACTGGTCAAGATCAACTTGAACTACTTATAACATACATATTTATTTTTGTGGCAAATAGTGAAATATCATTAGCAAATCAATGTTTATCTACAATTTTGTTTTAATTTCAACTTAAAATAAAGAATATATGCTTGCATTAGGTTACACTGTCTATATCACACTTTTGAGGGTGTGATCCTTCCCCTGACATTGCGTGAAGAAGGAATGCATTGTACATTGAACTGCCTTTTTTTTTAAATAAAAAATTTGAAGCTGAAAAGTTGATTCGAGAATTTAATCGGAGAAGTACCCTACTCTTTGTTGAGTTCTGAATGAAGGTACTTGTTGATACCCAATTTTTCCTCATATATCTTTTAATACATATATATACTTTCAAAATAACACATATGTAGTTATAAGCATGCATAAGCATTTTTATAATTTTTTCTATAATTTTAAAAGCTTCAAATTGATTTATTTCTTCTCTTTTCATTTATAAAATTTTAAATAATTATCTTTCAAATTACATTTGTGGTGATTTAGTCATATAAATTCTTTATTTATGCCAAAATAGTGTTTAAACATTTTTAGTGTATTTTTTATAATTACATTTACATCTTTAGGCTAAATTGCATATCTTTGCAATAATAGCCCTACTAATGCATAATTACATTATTGATGCATAAAGTGATCTTTTATATTTTTAAAATGTTAAACAACTATTCTAAATCATTTTAGTACACGGAAATATTTTTTGAAAATTATTTATTATTTTTATTAATTATATAACTATTAAAAGTGGCTATTTAAAATCTAGCCTATTTTATTTCAATTTCAGCCCCCAATTTAACCCAATTACCATCCCAATCCCCAATTAAATTACCCAGCCCAAACCCTGAAAACCCGATCCGGCCCCAATACCCTTTAATCTCGACCGTTGATCATAAAGATCAACGGCCATAAACGATCCTTCCTAAAATAAACCCAAAAGACCCCCTAAACCCAATCATTTTACGTTACCCGCCGCCCTGTAACCCTTCTCTGCTCTCAAACTCTCTCAAACCTAACCCTAATCAAACCTCACTAACACTCATCTATGGCTATCTCCGATGATCTCTCACCACCCCGAAGCCTCCAATGGCCTCCCTCACGTTAGTCTTGCCATCTCCAGGGTCCTCAAGGGACCATGGCTAGTTGGCTTGCATCTATGGTCACTTTCTCGCCTGTTTCAGGCCATTCCAGTATGATTCCGAGTAAGATCGTCCTATATTGACTACAATCTATGGGTTTCTTAGTATGTTTCTTCACCTCTGTGTTGTTCTCTTTGAAACCCTAATTTCTTTTTCTAAACCTCTTAGATCTGTACAGATCCGAGATGATTTGGGCTTGTTTCATGTGAGTTTTTACAACAACCTTGAGGTTCTTTACAAGAATCATATGATTTTCAAGTGATTTTCACCTTTTCTCTAAACTAGGGTTTCCAGAATTTCTTTTACAAAATGTTTGATGACTTTTTGTGTTTAATATTCTGCTTCTCACATGTTTTGACTGATTTTATAAGTCTGCTACAACCTTAGCTCGCTTGTACCGAAAGCCCTAATTTTTTGGTTCTTCGTTTGATTTCTGAGCACTGGTACATCTGATTGTGTTCTTGCTTTGGGTTCTTATGATTTCTCGTGATTTTCTTGTCCTAATAAGCTTCTACTGAATTTCTTAGTTCAACCCTTTCACTGATGCTTGTTTTTATCCTGACTATTCATGTCAAGACCTGAATCAGTGTCGTTTAACTTTTGTTTTGTTAAAGTTGTGTGTCGATTCCTCACTATTCATGTCTTGCCTTATTTTATATGCTAAACTTGCTGACTCTTTCATGACTTTCTCTTTTATTGAACCTTTGATTATTCTGAATTCCTTATTTTCTGGTTGATTTGAACACTTTCCCTTAAACTTCTGATTCTTACCTCTCTACTCTATTTGATTGAATTACTTGCCTTAATTAATTTTCCCTTGCCTTGTTTGTATTTTGCTGATTCTTACTGATTTTTTCCTTAACTCAAACTTCTGTTCATTTATCCCTAATTACCTACTCTATACCCAAACCTAACTTGATTCTTTTCCTTAAATACCTAGCATGCTTTATCGTTGATTTGATTGTCCCTTGAGTAAGGGAAGGACTTGCTGATTTATATGTGACTTCCCTGATTGCTACTTAATTGATCTCTTACCTTATTTATTAAGCTTTGATTATTATATAAACCCCCTCTTATTTTTAGTTTTGGACAATGACATAGTTCAAAAAACACTACTCTTTACACTTTAAAGTTCTCTTTCTCTTCTGCTACTTGTGATACTCACTGATCTAGCCAGCTGAAAGCCAAGGCTAGATATTGGAACTTTATTTGCTTTATATTCTGCACCCTTTCCTTCAGCTGGCATGTCTCTAGTTAAGTTTTGAAATCCAAACCCTATGTGTTTCATTCCTGCACTAGTTCATCAGTTATGAATTCAACTTGTATTCCTGTTTACTTATTTGCTCGGCATGTCTAAATTCTGTCTTGATCAATGCATGTTTTATATTTTGCACTCTTTCCTGCTTACTTCTTCACCTTGCATTTCCAAACTGTATGTTCAATCCTATTCAAAACATACCAACTATTATCTATGTCTTAACTACTGAGTCTCTAAGATCCTAAGTGTTGTATGCAGATGTTTCCTCTATACCCTATCCATGTACCCCAATGTGACTCTTATGTGCCCCAATCCTTTTATCCCCATATGAAATCTGTTTGTTAAGTGTTCTCTTCTGAATCTGGATGTCTCTTATGACCAATTGATTGTCTTCTGTTTTGGTACTCTCTTCAAACTGTTTCAGTACTAATGATTTCCAAAATTCTTTTCAGTATTAATACCTTTCTATTAAACTCCTTCAACTGTTATGCACTCTCACTTTACTCTTAGAATACTAGGTTCTGCCCCTCTGACATGTTTACTGCCTTGAGATCCTTGAGATCTCTTTGAACTCTGGCATGTCAGAGCTGGCCTTTCCATACTGCACCTAAGTCAGTTATTATTTGAGAAAAGGTCTAGGTGTGAGCACTGCCCGGGATCTTTGAGATCCTTAGGGAACTCTGACACACCTAGACACAAAATTTTCTATAGAACTTTAGCATTTGAGGCTATTGGAGGCTTGGGAAGTCATTTGAGCCTACTGCAGGCTCCCTATAGATTAACTCCTATTTATTTATGTATTTTATACATTGGTCTGTAATAATTATTGTATACAACATTGGGGTGATTTGTGAAAAAAGGTGGGTAGTCAAATGTATTTACTATGTTTGCTTTACTTCCACAATATTAGAAACCATGCCTATAGGATCTAAATGGCTTTAATAATAGAGATCATGCCTATAGGGTTAAAATCAACTTTATAATTAGATATCATGCCTATAGAATAATTGAAGGTCAACTTTCGTTACAACATGTGTTCACATTCGTCTCCTTTGAAATTATGCCTATAAGTTCAGAAATCAGCTCTAATAGAAATTATGCCAATAGAACTCAAAACTAGTTTAGTTAAATAAATCAGTTTAATTCATGTTTGTTCATTCTGAATTGGTTAACTAATCTGTCCGTTTCTTAATAAGTTTTCAAATACTGCCTTAAGTTAAAACCGCTAGAAAGCATGTCTATAGGATCTCAAGTTATCGTTTAAAAAATCATTTTTGCAGTTTTACTGCATTCATAATCAATATAGATATCATGCTCATAGGATATCACTATTACGCCTAGGCAAGCCTATAGGGCGATTAAAGTCCTGCAACTATAAAACTGCGCTTTAAAACTGCTCGTATTCATCGGTCTAAAATCAGTAAGTCTTTGACACTTCAGTCCTAATTCGATGTTGTACACGTTCTGCTCACTTAGATATCATGTTCTAGGATTTTCTTAAATACTTGACTATTGTTTGAAGACGTGCACTTACTTGTTATATTTGTGGAGGTTAATGTGAGGCTCTAATTTGTTCTCTTTAAATGCTGTCCTAACTGTTTTGATTGACGCCTAGACCTTTATCCTTTAAAGCCTTATAAAGTTCTAGAACTACCTAAATTAGAGATCCTAATACCTATAGGGCCACAAGGAAGGGACAGATAGTGCACGCATAGGACATTTATCAAGGCTATTAGAACGCTTTAGGCTTTGACCAAGGGGAGGAAATTGGGTAGTAAGGATATGATGACTACGCGCTAATGTCACGTGTAGCCCCTCATTGAGGAGTGTTTACCAGGCATTGTGTGGGGTGATCCTGTAGGCTAACTAATCTAGGACCCCTCTTTCCCAATTCCTGATGTTTAAACTTTACTTTTTTCTGTATATGCAACTTGTTAAAATCTTTTCCTTGTCTTATACAATGTCCAAAACATGCCTTTATTTGTAAGTATATGTTAAAATTGTTTATTTGCTAAAATGACTAATTCACACAGTATAAGTTCGGTTGGGACATACTGTTATGGACTAAGAGGGGTGCCTAACACCTTCCCCTCAAGGTTATTTCGAGCCCTTACACTAAATCTATGGTAAAGCAAACTAGTCTAAGAGTTAATCGCTCTAGGTGCCCTAACGCACCATAATCCGTTAGGTGGCGACTCTTCAATACCCAATTCCCAAAAAGGAAATGAGTTATTACCCCGATGAATGTTGGACTTCTCTCTCCGCGTAGGGAAAAAGGGGGGCGCGACAACATGACGACTCTACTGGGGATACCTTTAGGCTCTTTTTCCATAACGAACTTATCTTTTGTGAATTATTCCAAGCATGCTCCATCCCACGTACCCTTTCCCCTTATTTGAATTTAACTGTCTATTTTCAAGTATTTATGATTT